GTCAAACTCTCTACTGAAGGACTGCGACTGTACAAAGCGAAGGATGGCCATCTCGGCCTCTTCAAACTCTTGAACTGAGAGCGGTGCGTAGCAGTCACCCACTACCTTCGTTTTAGCTTGTAGTGACTTCACGCCCGACCTTGCTTGACCATGGTCTGAATCTATCTCGAGAGAACCCTGGCCTCTTTCGCAATACAGCCTTGATTCTAAGGAATGCGGCCACTGACAGTCTCAGGCGATACCAACTCGAGTGGTATTCTATTCGCTTGTTAAGTGACGTAGCCGTGGCTTCCATTACCATGATACCCGCGGAAGCAACTTTTCTGACCTCAGGGTCGTCATCTGAGACCTCACCGACTGGAAAGGGCTGCTGCGGCCAGTCTTTTTCTGATTTCCCTAAGAAGTGTGGACCATTTGACCAGCGTTGCTGCTGCAGAAGTCCAGCAGCGGAAAGTCCTCTTGAGGCATCATCTGCCGGATTGCTACTGGTGTCCACGTATTTCCACTGCATAGGACTAGTGAAGTCCCTGATCAATTGCACACGATTTGCCACGAATATCTGAAACCTCTTCCGCTTGTTTTTTATGTAGCGGAGAACCTTCGTCGAGTCGGTGTGATAGATGATAGACTCAGGCTTAACCTGAAGCTCTTCATACAGCATTTATCCCACGCGAACAGACACGGTTGCTGCAGTTAATTCTAAGCGTGGGACTGTTACAGTCTTAACAGGTGCAAGACGAGCCTTCCCCATTAAAAAGGAACAATGTATGCGATCTATGTCATCCATTAGACGTAGGCAGGCAACGCATCCATACCCCACCGTGCTTGCATCGGAGAACAAATGGAGCTGTCTGGAGACAACTGGGCCAAAACCTGGCGGCTTGTAACACCAATCAATGTGAAATTGCTCTAGTAACGGAAGCTTTCCACACCATCTTAGCCATTTACTGCGGCAGTCTTCCGGAATGTCGTCATCCCAGTCAAGATCTTCATTGCGGCAGAAATCCTGTAACAGCTTCTTTGCTAGAAGTGTGAAAGGAGCGATGAAGCCCAGGGGATCAAAGATTGATGAGATGGTGGACATGACTCCTCGTCTTGTAAACGGTTTGCTGTTAATGACGATTCGAAATCCAAAACAATCTGATTGTACGCACCACTGTATCCCTAAGGCACGTTCGATAGGGAGGTTGTGACAGTCAAGAGTTATTGATCTGACTTCTTTCGATCGCTCATCCTCTGGTATAGACTCTAAAACTGCACGACTATTGGAAGTGAATTTGGTGAGGCGGAATCCACCTTTCTTACAGGATTGCCGAAGACCTTCAATCAGCTCGACTGCTTTACCTTCC